TATATATATATATATATATATATATATATATATATATAGTTTTCTCTCTCTCTCTGGTTCTCTCCCTCTCCCACACCCCAGTTCTCTTTTCCAGGCTGCATTCTGGGGTTACTTTTGTGACGAGTAAAGGCAGCACTGGCTGCTTGATTGAGACCTCTACCATAGCAGTACACCAGGCACCAGGGTGAAGGTGCTCGGTAAGCCTTGTGCATTGGCCAGACGTTTTATTCCAGCTTAATGGTTACATCCATTTTCTGGACTAGGTAATTAAGGTGTAAGGTTATTAAAAAGGGTCATGGCATTTGTGTCTGGCCTCTAAAGGAGTTGACTGTGGACCATTATCAGATGCCTTCCTTGGCACTTTAGCCTTGAACCTTCAGGTGCACTCGTGGGGGCATCAGTGTGGCAGGCAGCAGCACAGGGGTGGGAGATGCCAGTGAGTGTGTGTGTGTGTGTGTGTGTGTGTGTGTGCGCGCACGCACATACGTGCACATGCGCACATGTGGCAACACCAGGAGATGTATGCACATCAGGAAGAATACAGGCTTGGCACCCCTCCAAACTGCTATTCTTTAAATATTAGGTCAACATCTATTTAGAGGAAAGGGTGGTAGGCACCTTTCTGTGAGTGTGGTGGGCAAGCAGTGGAGGCTATCCCTACCTGCATTCCACACTCATAGAGACAAAAGCCCTGACCCCCTTTTTAGAAAAGACCATTTAGTGATCCTCTGTTGTTATTTCACCTACTCTTTTGCGGTCTCACCCCACCCACTAACAAATGACTTTCAGAGTATTTCTTCCAACTCCACACATTATCTCCCTGAAAGGACTTCTTAAAAGTACAATTTTGGGGCTTTCCTGGTGGCGCAGTGGTTGAGAGTCTGCCTGCCGATGCAGGGGACACGGGTTCATGCACCGCCCCGGGAGGATCCCACATGCCGCAGAGCGGCTGGGCCTGTGAGCCGTGGCCGCTGGGCCTGCGCATCCAGAGCCTGTGCCCTGCAGCGGGAGAAGCCACAGCAGTGAGAGGCCCACGTACCACAAAAAAAAAAAAGTACAATTTTCGACCTCATGACAATTTTAGTGAAGTTTTTACACCAGCCCTCACCCTCAACAGACTGGTCATATGTCATGTGTGCATGTGTGTGTGTATCGTCAAGCTGGTGATTTAGTGATGACCCTGTTCCTTATATAGAAAGTGTGTGTGACACTCTCATGTGGTCACAGGCTCTCTCCTACTGAGTTCAGGGCCTTCCAAGTAAGGAAGAGACACAGGGCGGTATTTTCTTAGGAGATTATTATATCCACTGGAATGTAGCAAAGAGCGTTGAGCAATTGTAAGGAATAAATATCCCCACTTGGCTGGAGCAGCTGTCTTTCCTCTGCCTTCTTCTTCTCACCCCTTTCCGTAGTCCCCTCTGACCCTTTCTCTCCCAGGGACAAAGGCATCGTCCAGAGGAGCTCATGGACACAAACACGCCTGGACAAAAGCTATTGCCTGAATGGTCCCCGGTTGTCATCACGATGTTGCACACCTATGGAGGGATTCCGTTTCTAAGAATGCACAAAACCTATGGCCTTGAACTGGATTTACCCACCATCCCACTTCAGGTACTCTTAGCCTTACACAACAGAACACCAAGACAGCCAGGTAATGGAGGGAAAAAATAATCACTTCAACCAGTTGTTTGGCAGAGATTAAATGGAGCAACTACTAGGTCATTTGAATTATGCATTTAAAAATGAGGTTTCAGGGGCTTCCCTGGTGGCGCAGTGGTTGAGAGTCCGCCTCCTGATTCAGGGGACATGGGTTCGTGCCCCGGTCCGGGAAGATCCCACATGCCACGGGGCGGCTGGGCCCATGAGCCAGGGCCGCTGAGCCTGCGCGTCCGGAGCGTGTGCTCCGCAATGGGAGAGGCCACGACAGTGAGAGGTCCGCATATCAAAAAAAAAAAAAAAAAAATGAGGTTTCATAGGCACAGCTGGAAAGAAATCCTCTTGTGACCTTGAGCTTAAGGTCCTTGTACCAACACCAAACTCAAAGATTTGCTAATGAAGACTCAAGATGCTGACACTTCCAATAATATGCTTCCAACTGGATTCCTTTCCCAGCAGTGGTTGCCAAGTTCACCTCACATTTTACCAAGTTCTCTCTTTCTAAAATAGAGGTAGGTTCTCTTTTGAGTAAAATAATGGGTCAGAATGCCTAGGTTTGGCATTTATTAAGTCACTTTAAACAAGTAACTTACATGCCCTGTGTCTCTATTTCCTCATCTCTAAAATGAGGATAATAATAGAACCTGCCATTCTGGATTGATGAGGTGACCAATAAGATAATGTATGAAAAGTGCTTAATATAACACCTGCCATATAGTAACCCCTCAGAAGTAAGATAGCTGTGATTAATATTAGCATTATTATAAATTGATTGATGAAGTACAAAAAAGGCTTTTAAAGGAAATTTGGTTTTATCCAATCTCATGTCTAGAAGTCTAACTGAAAGAAATATGACACATGTACAAAGATTTTTGCATAAGAATGTCCATATAGCATTGTATTTAATGGCAAAAATGTGGTAATGACCTAAGTATCCATCAATAGGAGACTAGCTAAGCATCTTAGAGTTCTTCCATTTAGAGGACTACTGTACAGAAAATCGAGGGTGGGTTTTGCACTGCCTGTTCAGTGCAGCCAGCAATGCTTTTGAAAATCACCAAGGCCTCCATGTTTAGATTGGCAATTACAGCTTTCCTTCCTGCAATCACAGAATATTCTCTGGGATCTAATGAGATGATGATTTCGTTTTACTGGGAAGAGTGGATTTGCATCACTCAAGACAAACCCCTGAAGAGAAAGGAATCAAGAGGCTTGGCTGAAAGATGCCCTGGTTTCTGGTGCAATCCCATCTTCTTCCTATGACCTTTAAGTCATGGGGCCACTAGGGCAGAGCAAATGAGTTAAGGACCTCACTTTTGGCCATTGGAAGCCCTTCTCAGAGCTTTCTACCATGAGAGGAAGAAAAATTCATCTCCTAGGCCATGTTAAAATAGAAAAAGTGGAATGACTTTCCCCATCTCTTACTGCCCCCCAATCCCAATCCCCTGGTCTGCTCCCTGGGGTTCACCTGTTCCCTGTAGCAAAAACACTAGCTTGGGCCTTGAGCCAGGCACCTCAGCCCCTTTGCCCCTTTCCAACCTCTGCTCCTCCAAAATGAAATCCTCATTCC